TTAAATATTTACCATAAATAAAACCACTAATTTTATGTGAATCTCATTTAAAATCATGGAAATTTAAATGAAAATTAAAGTTTAACAAACTTATTCTAGAACTTAAAAAAACTTTAAAAATGCCATTTATCTTAGTAATTTAAGGATAGTTCTAAATTAAAAAAATTAACGTAAGTAACAAAGCTAAAGAGACATACTCTATGAACTTCTCAAGATACAGAAAAATCAGTCATGATAAAAGATGCTAGCTAAAATGGGAAAATTAGGAGACATCTTTAACACAATAAAAAGCATCTGCTAAAAAAAATCTATAAACACCATGCTTTCCTTTCGATACATCAACATGATAAAAAGTGTCTGTCAGGTCAAAAACAAAGGAGAATGCACCTGTATGAGTCAGTCTATGGCTAAACCTCACCTTGTTAACACCTCAGGAAACTGTGCTGTGAATGTTTTTGTCTTTTGTTTTTTTTTGCTTTTGTTGCTGGCAAAATGGATGCTTAGCACAATTTTAAATCATAAAGAGGCCATCAAGAGTGCTACTGTTGCTAAGGGTGTGAAAGAAACAATGATCACAGGCAATTGAAGAGGTAGAAAAACTGAAGCTGAACTGGGCAAACGAAAAGCAGTTAGCCAGCTACAGCATTACAGAGACAGTGATAAGTGAAAAACCAAAAATGCTGCATACTGACCTCCTGAAAGACACCCCTGGAACGACTGCTGAAAGTGATTTAAGGATAGTAGGGGGTGGTTCAATAAATTTAAGTAAGGAAGTGCTGTACTGTAAGTAAGGTTAAATCAGGAAATCATTTGGGGGTCTGGAACAAATTAATTCCATTTACATTATTTCTAATGGGAAAATATGATTTGGTTTTCGAACAAATCACCTCTCAAACAGCTTTCTGGAACGAATTAAATTACAGAACTGAGGTAGCACTGTGTATTACAAAAGCTGCCCAGCAGGTTACTGACAGTAAGTAAATACAAACCAGAAAAGAAGAGTCAAATTGGCCTGTTCCCAGACATAGATGTTTAAGATCATCTAATTCAGTGATGACGAACCTTTTGAGCTCGGCGTGTCAGCATTTTGAAAAATCCTAACTTAACTCTGGTGCCGTGTTACATATAGAAATTTTTTGATATTTGCAACCATAGTAAAACAAAGACTTATATTTTTGATATTTATTTTATATACTTAAATGCCATTTAACAAAGAAAAATCAACCAAAAAAATGAGTTCGCGTGTCACCTGACATGCGTGTCATAGGTTTGCCATCACTGATCTAATTAGCTCTACAGAGAAAATAAAGCACATCACAATGTCAGATTAATATACAAATATCAATTATTATTTCTATACACCCAGAATAAGCGTAAGAAAATGAAATGCTTTTAAAGACATCATTTAGTGACACCTGTACATAGTTATTCATTTAAGCACTGCTCCAAAAAAAAGATTGGAACATCTAAATAACCAACAATGTAGGGCTTATTACTTTTACTAGAGGCCTGGTGCATGAAATTCGTGCATGGGTAGGGTCCCTAGGCCTGGCCAGCGATCAGGGCCGATCTGGTTCCCCGCCTCCCCACCTCCCCTCCTCCTCCTTCTCTCGCCATCCTCGCACCAGCACCACGTGGTTCCCCCCGCCTCCCTGCCTCCTCCTTCCCTTGCCACCCTGCAGTCCCCCCTGCCTCCTCCTTGCCTCACTCTCTCAGCGCCCTGCTGTTGCCTGCCATGTTCATGCCGCCCCCTGGTGGTCAGCGAGTGTTATAGCGAGCAATCGAACTCGTTTTCCTGATCGAACCCCCGAGGGGACACTTTGCATATTAGCCTTTTATATATATACTAGAGGCCCGGTGCACAAAAATTTGTGCACTGGCGGGGGGGGTGTCTCCCTCAGCCCCCAGGGCCAAATCAGGGGTTTGGGGAGCTCCCCGCGTCACACACAGAGTAGGAGCCGATAGGGGAGTTGGGGCATCGACCCCTGTCACACAAAGAGCAGGGCGATCAGGGGGTTGGGGCGCCGCTGCTGTCACACTCAGGGCAGGGCCGATGGGGAGGTTGCGGCTCTACCCCGTCACACACAGAGCAGGGGCCCATGGGGGGTTGGGGCGCCTTCCCCTGTCACACACAGGGCAAATCAGGGGGTTGGGGAGGCTCCCCCCTATCAGGCACA